ACGGTAGACCTCTCGAGACGAAACTTGTGCCAGATCAGCTAAGGCCCACCCGCCCCGCGCCCTCGCTGGTAAGCACAATGTCTACGTCTGGGACGGTTCCGGGGTTTTTCATTTCTGGAAGGACGCTTAAAAACAGAAGTATGTCTTGACATGGAGGAGAGATTCCGGGACCGCGCGACGTCTGGGTCGGGATATTCCAGATGTAATTAATTGTATCAGGGAATGGATTTGTCATGAAACATACATTTTTAATATAACTGCATTTGCAACTAGCCCCTCCTATCAAAAATCGCGGTAGATTCTCCCCTCGCGAATTCTGGTCGTGCCCCTGCGTTAAGGGGGCGTGTGCCTCGTTGCCCACTTTAACACCACCCTACTCACCGCTGATAAATCCCAACATCGTCGCGGGTCCCTCCACTGCTGCGTGACCATGACACTGGCTCATCCAAGGCCGGCTGAGAAGTCAGCTGACGAGAACGTCACCGAGTCAGCTGACGTCAAAACCAACACACGCCGCTGGCACTTCCCGCGATGTATGGTGAACACGTGACGCCGCCCGCTGCTCGCCACTGGCCGATGTTTACCAGCGGACCGGAGAACGCCCGCCCCGCGTTCCCGACAGACGGAGACCATGCACGATCGCGAAATGCGATTCAGATCCAGTGTAAGCCGGATGAAACCGGATAGCTTGATCGTCTGGAGCTTGTCAGCGGCGGCGGCTCGCCTATTGCGCAGAAGGACACCGGCCTGCCAGGACCCAGCTGAGCTTAAGACCACCCCGGCGTGGTGGATATGGAGACACGCAGACACCATTGGCTTGACAGGCTTCTGTCCACATTTCGTTGTTTGCTTAGTTTATTTAGTTACGTCAGCCCATTTTGTTCATGATGTTCCTTTAATTCTTAGGACTAACCAGCGTGGCTGCATCCAAGGGCTGCTCCGTCCCGTTATGAGCGTATTCCAGCATTTGACTCCACTTCAAGGGGACCGCGAGATTTGCGTTAACCTGCGTTAGGGGGGGGGGGCAGAGCATGTCACTACCCCCTCCCCCTCCCCCCACTAGAGATATTAAGGTTGGTTTGTTCCAGTTTTACTGAACAAAGGCCTCCCGATTTCGTTCAACAAGGCCTTCATTTTCTACACTACAGCTTTGGAGCGTTTTGAAAATAACGGGCTGAACGTTTTGGAAAGCTTACTGTGCACGTGTTAGGCGACCAATTTTTACATATATTATGCATAACACCGTGCATGCATATTGCATGTGTATGTAAAGGTGAAATCTGAGGCGAAGTATTACAGGCAGTTTCAGAGATGGGGGAAAAAGGGTATTCTTCGGTCATTAATTGCGTGTTATTTTTCGTTGTTGGTGAGAATGATAACAGATTTGTATTTTTTTCAGCCAGTCTATGGGTTTTGATATATGGTGCAGTCATGAACTCAGAGAAAAATGTGTGGACATTCTCATATTTGCTTTTTTGCTAAGCCGCCATTTGGCGGGTAAAAAAACACCTTTGCTGAAAACCGATATGACAATTTGTATGTGTCCGCGCTGTCTGATTTCATGCTACGTGAATGTCTTGCTCTTGGGAATGGCAAACTCAGGTCAACTTTAAGGGATGGGCTATTGTACACTGTGTTACTCAAACAATGCGTGCCATGCTCTAACACAGGAATGCCCAGAAATGAGTTTACTAGCTACATTTCTAAAGACGGCCCTACATGAGGATGGTGAGGTGAAAACCTTGGTGAAGCTGAGGACAAACAAATGTTTGCGATGCATGCACAGCATGATGCATGCATACGGCTATAGAGACCGATCACCCATACTTATTTACCTGTAAGTGCGACGGAAATTTGTCGTTTGCTTGCATTTGGCCTCATTCATATTGGATGGACCACAAAACACGAGTATGCATCCGCATGCCGTGATTCTTTTTCTATCTAAAGTCTGATAGAGAATGCTTAACTTACGTGGGCGATTTCTACATGTGGTGTGAGTACAAGTAACAAGAAGCTTCAACTAATGCGCCCTTGTGCTCCCATCTATTTAGTGTCTGTTTGTGCCTTTGTTGAAAATATGTATGCATGCCATATATCTATGAGACTTATGACGATATGAATGAGTGCACAATCTTCAGTGTACCCGAAGGCAACGGTGGTGTGGCCCAAAAACTCGCGTTGTGTGCTCTTCACGCGCAGCAGATTGTCTCCAAAAAGTCAACAGTGTGGAGTTGCCTTTGCGGGGCAAAGTTCTTGAAAAGCTTGATGTAATACGCATGTGCCGATTTCACGAGAGGGCACAAGATTTTGGTACATAGTGAACTCTTCAGAAACAGAGAAACCTGGTGACGGCAGAATCTGCCCACCCGGTGGGAATTGGGTTTGGTTCGTTTGTCGGCAGTTGTTGGGTGTGTGAGTAAGGTAACGCCCCGGGGTCAACGGCATGCACGTGTGTGTCCCAAGACGAAGGTCGTATAAAAGGCAGTATCTCGATTTTTTAAATGGTGCGGCGTTCAAGGTCAACGGCGATTCATTTAGGTTAGACATTGGCAAGATTCCCGTCGTTTCTAAAGGTGATGAATATAGTGTTATTTTCGAAGGTATTCATAACGCGTTAACCCATTTGGCCAAAGAAGCAAAAAGTTCATTAATGCGGCGAGCATAAGACCATTATTTTTAACGCTGTAACGGTCCCAGTTTCATCAGCAAACCGCATGACATCTGCTCCAGCAGACAATGACGCACGTCTTGAGCCATGACCCTAGACAGGAGAAACCTCACGGTTGAACCCTGTAGCACACCCAATCCGTTTAGGATCAGCCGCGAGGTACGACTCTGTCGGTATCTGGAGCAACCCTCCAGCGGCGCACCGCGCGTGTTCCCCATGGCAACGCATGCACCAGTGCCAATATCCCGCGGCAGATCCTTAAATTCCGCACGTCTATATCGCTACCAGTGACGTCAAAGCAGTCACTATGTCCAAATAAAATGTT